CACCCTACCGACGCGACTCCTGGGTGACATAATTTGTATCAATCGATTTGCGTTTAACATTAGTTTAGTGCACTCGTGGTGTAAGAATGGCACCTCAAAAGTGGGTACACATATGAGTATGAAATTCGTTGACTAGTCCATTCTTCCTTCTTTTTCAACCCTTCCTGGTGCGCATCGCAAGATTCAGTATAAAATCGTGACATAATTGATAAAACACCGTATTTATGTCGTCACGTGACACGGATGATCCATGGTTTCGGACCGACTGGACCTTCTAACTGGTTCCAATGAATTGGCTTCGTGTAATGCTGCGTTTACACGAAGCCAGTAAGTAGTGCAATAACTGGACTCCATTAACTGGCTCTGTGTAAAAATCAATGGAGGCCAATTACAATCCAATCGTGTGGAAAAATGTAGCGCTTGTGTTTATCTCCGGTTTTGCGATAAGGAGTTCGTTATGCCTGCGTATTGTATCAATCAATTTGCGTTTAACACTAGTTTAGTGCACTGCTGTGTAATAATGACACTTAAACAGTCGGGTACAGATATGGAAGGAGGGTTTGTGCATCCAATTCAATTGTGGAAACTAAGATGATGCACCGCTTGAATCTTTTCTCAACCTCCATTTTCTGATAGATAGTAGATAATTGCGTAGTCTTTTGTAACAGTTTATCTCCGGTTTTGCGATAAGGAGTTCGTTGTCCCTGCGTAAAATCAAATTAAAATTCAAAATAGGCAGATGAGAATTATGTGGGTCTTTTCGAGTTCCTCTCAAGTTCTTTTCCCAATTTGCTTTTAAATTCTTCTGCAGTTCACCCTCGGGTTTTCCTGAAAGTTCTTTAAATTGCTTCTCAGGTTCTAAAATTATTTCATGTTTCCCTCAAGCGTAACTTATTTTCCTTTGTACAGACAAATAGTCCGTTACATGACATTTCGCGAAGTACTGATCAATTCATGGAAAATTCGCAACAGTTACTCGCCTTAAAGCCATCGTCTGTCTGTCTGTCTGTTCCATCGAGATCTCGTACCCAGTCACCCAGTCTGATGGGTCACCTAATGATTTCGGGTTTTCGCTAATTGATAGGTGCTATGGTCTATATTTGCCCGCTTTTTTACACTTGTGTTACGCGACCCACGAGTAAGTTTTGGAACATCTTTTAAATTTTCCTCGACTCTGTTCTCATGCTTCCTTCAAGTTTACCATTAACTTCTCCTCAAATTCAACTCAAGTTCCTATTAAATCCTTTTGAAGCCCTTTTTAGATTCACCTGAAAAGTTTGTCAATTTTCTCATAAGCCGCTCTCAATCTCAAAGTTGTTTTCAAGTTCCTATCAAATCCTGCTCAAGTTTTTCTCAAATTGCCAATTTCCATATAAGTCATAATCCTGAAATTGTTCTCAAGCTACCCTTAAGTTCTTTTTAAGATTTCTTCACGTTCCCTTACACTCTTCTTCGTTCCTCGTTGATTTCAAATTATGCTCAAGGTCTTTTTTCTACAAAATTGGCAATGCCTTCTGGACTAGTGGAAATGGATTAACCTGGAATTCAAATAAGATTAAGATTAAAAAAAAAGGATTGTATGACTGGCTTGTGGGCATGGAAAATATGCTTGGGGATTGAAAAACTGGAAAATATTTAAAAACTTGCCATCAGACGTACTTTCCTTCAGAGGAGAGCTAAACTAACTAAACTTAGAATAAGAATAAAACAGATTATCAAGATTCCCCAATTGTTTCAATACACTCATTCGTCATATCATATATTAACTTTATACAGAAGTGTAGATTTTATGTAAGTACGCATATAATACAACAGAAAATATTTTCCAGACTTAAAATTATCTAATTGGTAACTATCATAACCAGAATAAGAGCAGGTACGAGAAAGAGAACGAGAAAAAGTTATTGAAACTGACCTCTCGTGGAATTGCAGAAATGGGATAAAAAATGTCATAAGTTCGCGTTAATGAAGAACTCAAAATTTTATGGATTCTGATCTACCGCTAAAAGTAGCTGAAGGGGACGTGGAATAGACAATGAAGAACAAATCAAGGCCATATACCCTCCAAAAAATTTGATATACACGTAGATACTGCGAAGAGAATGCGGTTACTACTTTGCTTACAATTTTAAAGAAACGTCATTCATCATCAATGGGTGCCGAAATTGTACAAAAATGCACTTTTTTTGCATTAATGAATATGTAAAATAATCAATACAATTAGTTGGAACACGTCGAATATTTATTGATAAGCGATTTACCTACCCACAAAGAGCTAAAACAATTTGAGATAATTATATATTTACATAAAAGGCGGTTTTCGTAATAACAACTAATGGTGTTATTAGTCGGGGTTTAACATTAAAAAAAAGCAACCGAACCATTAATCAACAATTTGTGCTACTATATTCTCGGTAAACAAGCGAAATAACTACCCATTAGCAAGAAATCTAATTGAATCGTGTCATGAGATGTCGTGTGAGGAATTGCAGTAAAATAATTCAGAGGTTCCGTCATTTAGTGCCTGCATCAAGAAGGTAGGTATCTACAAGCTAATTGCATGCAATTGACAACATATCTGGCGGTTTTTTGTTCTTCCAATTACCGCCAGTACAGACAAGTGGGTGGTTTGCGAATCACTAAATCACCGGGCCTAATGATGGGGACCTAAAGGAAGATACGCACATGTGAAAAGGGATGCACCAGTGGTACCTCATCATGACGCCAGCCGATGACGTAATTTTTCACCGCCTACCACGACTTCCTTCACACTTCTTTCACATTGTCAAGTCGAGTAACCGCAAGGGCTATCAATTTCTTGCCGTACAAAAATAGGCACAAATTCGTAACGCCTTTTTACTGGAAACCATAAAACGCGCGCCCGGCTCGTCCAGAAAAATATGATTATATCATTAATTATATTAAGTTATTTATTAAAGAAACATTAACCGAACCATTTTCTTAATGATTTTCTTTGAAATGCGATAGCATGTGTTAAAATACTTTTAAATTGGTTCAATTCTGCTATGTGCGTTCCGAGTTAGCGGCGGAACAAAGAAGTCGGTTTATGTTTCAGAGGGGTTAGTTTTTGGGGGTTGAAATCGCTGTCTCTGTATTTCTCGGCAGACGAATGAATGGCACGCACCAAATGTATGCGGTATGTGCCAATTAATCTACCCGAAAAGATGACTCCAGTTTACCTAACTCTGCATTACGTTTTAAACAAACAAATAATTCATAACTTTCCCTTAAAGTGGACACGTGGCAAACGTACTCTCTTGAAAGTGTTATTGCCGTAAATTGATTGGGATTTTTAACCGAAATGTTTTCCCTTGGTGATACCGTGAGCTAAAAATCCTGTCGTTTTTCTGAAAGTGATATTGACAGACTGTAATAACAGTACAAAAAACAAGTTCCGGACAAAAATATCGAATTACAATTTTTTCGAGTACATTCATTTATGTTTCCACCGCGACTTTGTTGCTTTATGCAAATTTCTCATGACAGATAGGGGAAGATAAGTCGGAAATAGATTAGATCAGATGTCTGTACAAGATTACACTAATATGTGACATTTAGGTAGGTTGGTTTTAGCGGCTTATCGACCGAAATTTCACTTTCGCCTTTTAAGCTGGGTCACCGCAAGAGAGTCTAACCTTGAGGGTTGGGCCACGCCACGACCCACGACCATTTGGTCATAAATGATATGAACAAGGGCAATTGTAGCAAATTTGTTCCGCAGTGTAATTTTTACCTTCTGCACTTTTCAACGAACACCTTCATTATGGGGGGGGGGGGGATGTAATATTGCTGAGATCCTGTTTTAGTGTTTTTGAATGTAAAACTTGCATAACTGTTACATGCGACAACCAATTGGTCTCAGAATTTACATACCTACGCATGTTTTAGGTGGTGCCAAGTAAAAATTTTCAAAATGGGGGGTGGAGGTGAACACACGTTCTACCCTTCATGGTATTTTAATGAAAGATCTCAACGGAATGAATTAATTTCTACCAAACCAAATAATTCTTTGTATCTCAAGAACAGATTGTCGGAGGATGGTACCGGGAGATTCATTAGAAGTGAGGACAATTTGAATTTCCCGCAAATCAAAAAAATTATGAAGTTGGTACTAACTGATGATCTTTTATTTAATTACAGTGGTAATTTATATAATTTCAGTAAATCGTTTACTTATTTATAATCTACAAATACTGCTTCTGTTTCACCACAAATTATAAACTAACACTAGACACAGACACGTTTCTTACATATTTTAGTGCATCAACTCTAAAAATTGTTCAAAATGGAAAAAGTAATAAACCGCAAATGGCACACAACAATTAACGGCGACACTGGTTTCTTAAATGACAGTCATGACAGAAAAAAATTACTAACGAAATTCAAACCGTCAATTTAATAATGCAAAAAATACTAAAACCTTACGCGCGAAATTCAAGCGATCATCACTTCTAATGAATCACCCGGTACTTACAAAGGGAGATTGGGACGTCTGGAAGAAATATATCCATTGGTGATGTCAAAACTTTACGGGCGAATATCTCGAAAACGCTTTGAGGAGGGTACCCACAAAGCAAAATGAATTGTCTGGAGAAGACATATCTATTGGTAAAGTCTCTCAATTAATCATCTAACAAGAAAGAAAACATCGATTAATATTTATAGCATGCTACTACCTTATAACGCAACCATTTACTAAGCTATTTCGGTTTTAAAAAAATGCACTTTATCTGACAATTTATACTTGTTTTAATTTTTTTTTATGTATAAAATTTAATTTATTTAATTTAAATTTTTTTTTTTTGATTTAAATTTTTTTTTTTCGTGATCACAAAGTGGTTATTGAATTTAAACTAAACTAAGAGTATGAATAGGTAACAACAATAATCTTAATATAATGTGATAGACGCAAGTAGCGTCCGTAGAAAGCTTGGAGAGCTCAGCAAATATCCACTTGAGTTTTCTGCCATGATTCATTTTCACAATGAAAATATTTCGTCCATTCCTGGATGATCTGGGAGGGTGCCCCTAATACTAGCGGCGTTTCCACGTTGGATGGCAAGCGATATTCTTTGGAATAGGAAACTTTTAGCACGGCTGTCTCCGGATTCTGCTATGAGGTTTTGTCCAATACACATCAAAAATGATGTTGTTTCCGAGCTGCAGGGGCCAAAGGTTTCAAAAGCTAGAGCCACAATGAAAAAATTGTTAGATTTCAAATCGGAATATTTTTCGTGCTTCTTCTTTGCTTGAATTTCACTAGCTGATCCGGCGGTTATTGATGTTTGATGTATGTATGATGCCGTAACAGTGTCCACGCAGGTGACATCCCAAATTAAGCGTTGTCCTCTTCGCCATGGTGCTAGACTGACTCCATCTGGTCGTTTTCCATCGTCGCGTGACAAACCTACAGGCTCCAGAATTGAACAAATCTTAATTGACGCAAGAGCTCTCTGAATGATGTGATTCAGCTCTGTGTGCCGTGAAAGTCTTCCCTTGCTAGATAAGCAGCTTAAACCGTGATGCCCATTTTCCTCTACAACCTTTCCACAGTTGCATTGGTGCTTTTGAAACCTCTTGCAGCCAAGGCGGAGAGCCATACAGGTTTCAAAGTCTTGGCTATCCAACATGGTACCAATATTGGCAGAAGGAATACATTGGAGCCAAGCTCCAGATAGTGCACCTTGAACTGCAAGGAATCGTGCATTATCAGTATTTGTCTGGGATTTAAATTCGCTTGATGTTGATTAGATCCCAGGATTTTTGACTATGAGGAATTGCAGCAATCTCAGTATTTAAATAACTCCATGCCGTTAAAGCATCAGCCTGAAGGTGGACAGGAAATTGGCCATCCATATGGGGAAGAATTTGAGACGCCAAAGTCTGAGCACCGTAGGTTGAGCTGAGAAAGCAAGGTAGTGCTATGTCGCATATTTTTCGAAGGCCAGTTCCTCCGTCAATTACAGGTAAAGTTGCTTGTCGCCATTCGTCATCGTTGATATTCATGTTGAGGACGTTGGTAAAGGAGCTTCTTAGGAGGTCGTCGAATGATATCAACATTTGTGGAAAATTCCACACTGCGCATGTACGTAAGAAGTTAATTTCGGAATGTAAAGGCAGTTACGTAATAAGAAATACGCTATGTGAGTGTTAATTCCTGAGAGGCGATCCGTTAAACATTGGAGTTGGTGTAACTTTTTCATAAAGCAGTTTGAGTATGCTTCTTCGAAGATTGGAGAACCAAGAATTTCTAGATCATGACAAGTTACTAGACGGATACCGGGGCAAATTTGTTGAAAGGAACGTAATACAATCTCGTTCACGTAACCATTACAAAAGAAAAGTTCACATTTTCCTGTATTAATTTCCAATCCTCTTTCATTAGCAAGCTTCAATAGATTTATAAAATCAGCCAACACAGTCTTGAAATTATCTGCAAGAGAGGCATCATCAAGATACCATACGTTCAGTTCCGAAGTCATCTGTTCTACAAGTGGTTGTACGGTTAGACTGAAACCCAATGGTCCGCATGGGTCGCCTTGTTGTGCTCCGCGTTGTGATAAAATTGTGGTTTTATCGTAGAAGAGCAACGTGGGTTGGCGGTAGCACTGATACATCAAAGGGTAAAGCTCGGGCACAAAGGACTTGAATTCTTCCAGCATGTTATCTCGTTCGATGTTGTTGAAAGCATTACGAAAGTCGATTTTGAGTAAAACTTTTTCGGAATTTGCTGGGTTGTTTACATAGGTTCTGATAGAATGAACCGCGCTTTCACACCCACGTTTTGTTGCTACTCCAACTTGATGTGGGGCCAGGCGTTTTTGGATTTGCTCATTTGATTTTGTGCATGCTGTGTGCCCAACTAGGCGTCTTAAAGTGTTGCCAACTGCGATAGGACGTATTCCTCCATCTTTCTTGTGAAGGGCGCAAAGTGTTGCCCCGTAAAGTATCGGCAAAATTTCTGGGTGGACTTTACCGTCTAGCATAAAGTTACAAAGTTTAGTTATAGCAGTCAATACTCTTTTCCCTGCATCTCCGGCCGATTTTGAGATGATGTCTTTAAGAAATTGAGGGCGTAAACCATCTATACCAGGGCTGGATCCAGCAGGAAAAGAATTAATACTCTTTTGAATTTCGTGTTCGATTAATGGGTAGTGTTCTAAAGATCCATCCGGAGGATCCGGGAACGAAAGATCACGTGATGGAGCAGGATGCTTAGTGGCCAGTGAGTCCAGCGTGTTTTTGTCAAAAGGTGCCAGTTTTTCGTCCGAGCTTAAAATTCTTATTGCACCTTGCACATCAAAATCTTCGATTTTAGCCTCGACTTGACTTTTTATTGACATTTTATTTGACGTGTGGCTTTTCCCCAGTTCTACATCATTTTGATTCAAGTTCTTTTTTATTTTTGTGGTTAGGTTGTCTATTTTTGAGCCTCCCATGTTAAAAGATTTGTAGGAGAATAGGATCAGTTCTTCCCAAGCTATCAAAGAATTGTCTAAAATCGTTTTGTTTATCGTTGCGCACAATTTATCAGCTGGTAAGTATCTAGCACCTTTCGGAATCCTGCGGATAGTTCGGATGTATTTCCTAAAGTTTTGGAGCTTTTCTATTAGTGTTTCTTTAGATTGAGATGGAATTGGTTCGTTAGCGTGTTTCAATTCTAAATGACGTTTTAAACGATTTGCGTCTTTGTAAGTTTTTCTATAGCATGATAATTTGAAAGGGCAAGGGAGACGGGCTATAGAGTTATTGTTGGCAGATGTAGAAAGCGACTGTGAAGTTTTCTTCGTGGAACATAATGAACAAATCCAGCGCATATTAAGTCCACTAAGTTTTTCGTATTCTTCTGCAGAGAGGTTTATGCATTTTCTGTGAAAGCAGTCATTGCATAATTGGCATTGGATCATTGGCATATCATCTTTTGGCTGTCGACATTTACAACAAAATTTAATAGTCGACTGACGGCCCTTGGTTTTCCCTCTTGTACAAATTGTTTTTCGGCGAGATGAAGCATCTTGCATGCATAGTTCTCCGGTGGTTAAATTGTCATCTCTAGTCGATTCATCATCTTCTACAGTTAATTCGGAGGTTGTAGCAGTTAGATCGGGCCCTCCATCAAATAAATCGGTAACAATATTTGACATCTGACAATTTAAATTTATTTTAATTTGTTTTAATTACACATTAAAATGGTAAATGCGGCATCACCCGTTTATTGTATCTGAGTCCGTTTGGCAAAATGAAATAAGATTTTTCGGACATTTTTCCGCGTACTTTTTCTAATTTCAGATGCGTATGTGCTTACGAGATGTCTACATCGATTTCCTTCAAATTTGGTAAATAGATCCATCAAACCTCCTAGCCGGTCACTATTTTTTATTACCATTCGAAACTCCAGTCAAATGTTATGGTGTCAAATTGAATTGTGTTTAGTCTCAGCCTTAATATCCATGTCGAAGTGATAAACAACGAAATACGCGTTCGTGGTTTAAATGTGTTTAGGTGTTATAAATATGACTGCAAGTAAGTGATAAATACTGAATTGTTATAAATCAATCCATTTAAGAACGGCTAATAAATTTAGTTTATCGTTATTAAGCGGCAGAGCAAAGCGATGAAAGCTTTATAGGGGAGTCGATGGTGTCCGTCTGTCCGTCTGTCCGTGAACACGATAACTGTCAAACGCTTGGACCGATTTGGTTCAAACTTTGCACAGTTGACCTATATGCAACATGTAATAAACTATTAAGCCTATTGAAAATGGGTCAAATTCAATGATCCCTGCCAAACGCTTGAACCTATTCGGTTGAAACTTTGCACAGTAGACTTACATGCCACATGTAACAAGCCAATTGAAAATGGGTCAAATCCAATGACTCCGTGGGGTCACACCGAGGTGCTTTGCCGCTTTTTTAAACGCTCTGTATGGGTTTATTAGTATTGAAGATAAAGTGAAAAATATTTTTTCCGCCACATTTTGATGAGCGACCCGGTATAGGTATACATTTTGTGTCAACATATGCGCAATCCAAAATCAAAATCGACGGGTCCGAGCGTATTTTAGAACACGCCTCCATTTCATTTTTATTGAATTTATCCGTTATTTAATCACAACTCCGTATATATACAGGATGTAGCGTCTAAAACCCTTCGGACCATAATTCTTTTACCATAAAACTAAAAGATGTCGAAAAATCTTGGAGCAAAATTGTGCACAATTACTGTCGTCATGTTTTTAAAACAGTGGCGTACTATATTCCAATGGCCTATAATAATTACGTTTTTTAAACGGAATACCCCTATTTTGTTGCAGACAGCAGAAGTATTCGAAAAGTACTTTACCTTAATCTTTTTCCTCAAAATTTGACCGTTTTTCGCATTCACAGACGCCAGACCTCTTGATTTCCTCCACTGGGGCTATATCAAGAATGAGATCTACATCTACAGAACAGGACGGTGCCTACTACTGCTGAGAAGATGCGGGATAGAATTCATGAAACTTTCCATAGTGTATCACCTAAGGTCCACTAGGCGGTCTTAGACAAAACTTGAATACGTGACTGATTGCATAAACAGAAACGTTTGGGCTGTTTTCATTTTCCAGGACGTAATATACAAAAACCATAATGGATATTTAACTTGTAAAGAAAGCGCTCGTCACGTCAATAAATAAGATCCCATTGTAGAGTAACTTACGGAGAAATATGCAACTTAAAAGTGATTCAATGAAATTCGTCTAGTAAAGAGTCAATGACACTCAATTGTAAAGTTACAGTGGTGCAATATTGTTGGCACAGATAATGAACTTTTATTCCCGCCGTACTTCAAGGGTAATACATTTCATTAACTGAATTCGACATGGATATTAATTTTCAAGTAGCTATAATCCTATATAAATTTGTGAATATGGCTAAATGCAACAGATGGGGGCGTTGGTCAGATATAGATTTATTTTATTGTATATAATCGTAAATTGGAATTAACTTTGCTAATTACGCAAGCTGCTTGTAAATTATATTAAATGAGCAGAAAGGATTCCTCCTCTTATAATTGATTTCTATTTTGAGTGTGAGTGCTGTAGTGAGACAGGGGTATTTACACTGATTTATCATACCATTCACGAGATGATAGTATTAGGTTTCTTTGAACGTAGGCAATGGTTTCGAGTTTTCCGACACTTATTTAGGCGAGTGCCTACTAAGCGTTTTCTACACTGCATGCACCATTTCTACAGATAAACTCAATGACCGAACCGACCGTAACGATATCCAACTGTCCTTCTTTTGGACCAGATTTGATTCCTTTGTATGCCATTTTATGTTTCCAGAGCGGTGTAAAGTAGGAGGTGCGGGTTCGCTCACTTCTTTTTGTTGACTAACCCCTTAATTTTCGGTTTACTTACGAATAAATGACAGTACTCGAGGCCGACAGTCCGCGGTACTGGTATTAGGGGATGTAATGTCCTGCATTTTAGGGAACCAACATTTGAATGGTCACACTAACAATTTTAGTAAAATGTTCTGTGGTTTACAAAACTCAAAGCTCTTTTCTGGCATCACGGCTACTGCAGTTTAAAATTATTTAAAAGAACTCTATGAATCATGAAATAATTAAAATAAAGTTAGGTTAAGAGAAGAAAGTAAAGTAAAAGGAGATCCCTCCAGTTAAATTTAATATAAATTACGTTAGCAGTTCACATGTTTTGGCAACTTAAATTCAATGAAAATAATTGACAACCGGACGCATAATTCCCAACGGCTTAATTTTAATTAATCCCTAATATTGAGATAACGTCTAAATTAATTAAGTCTACCGCCCCAGCGCCCTTTACATACGCATATCAAACCACAAGAACGTTTATATTATGAGTATAAAAGTTACTTGCAAATATCGTATCTCTAATTCAATTAATTAATCTTAATTGAAAAGAATTTATCTTGTAGTGAAGTATTCCGATAGTGAGCGAACTGAATATAATTAACAAATGCTTCTAAAATGCACATTTCTACTCAAAGCAGCGTCCATTCAACTTACAGTCTACAATGAAAGGTTTTTAACCCACCCGAGCGCTTTCTTTACAAGTTAAATATACATTCCTTAAGAACAACATAAAACATTTAAGCATGCTTGAAACGTAAATTTGTCGCCTTTATTACCGAATTCTGTTTATGCCCCATGTCAAATAATTATAGTTGATATGTTTCTCGAAAGACCTTCGAGTAATCGCAAGGCAGGAAAAATCCACATTAGTATCACATTGCGAAGCGTTGCGAACAATCTTCGCAAGGAAAGGAACAAAAGGTACTGTAATTCATGTTATTTGGTGCCTGTGCAGTTAATTACGAGTGAGACTGTGGAAATGTAAATTAATATTTTAATTTAAAGCGCAGTACTGCGATTGTCGCAGGGATGTGATTTCGGCATAGCAGGTGTAAAGAAAATGAACGAAACGGAAGTTTGTGATTCGCGTCAAGAGCGATGCAATGACAAATAATTTTCCAAGATATATCAGCAGATACGTACATCGGCAGTTCGTGGATGGATTGTAGAATTTAAAGAAGGAAAAGGAAAGAAGAACGTATGAGGCTTGACGAATAACCAAAATCCTACTCCTCAAAGAGTAATGGAATTGACCGATGACCACTTTTGTCGACCTTCTACATTTCTCGCAGCATCAAAAGCATTTTTTAGAAGAACCTAATTGACCCCGACTAATTTACCCAGTCATATGTAAACAATTAGGCATACCGTTACGTTTATGTCAGTGGCATCCTTGACAAAGAGCAAACTAAACGTGTGAATGTCGGGACGCGTTCACAAAATATGAGTTTTAATTTATTTAGGTATCTTAAAGAGAAGATAAGTTTATTATTATTGCGGTGTTACTCACGCTACCCAAACCCCAAGACAAAGTAAAAGAATGTGCGCACATAAATTTTTCCGAATGCACACACACCGTTTTTGTTTTATTACTATTGCATTGCCGTCAAACCGCCTCGGATTTTTGATATTTGTCGTGTTAAAGGCGCACCAATGAAGATTTTTATTGCCATTTCGTAGATAAAAGTTGTGATTTTATTAGCATTTTTACTTATTTGACTTTGAAGTTTGTGTTAATTTCAAATATATAACAGCTTGATACTTTTAAATTGATTCTTATTACCCAAGTTTATTTCTTTCTCTGAATCTGGAAGCTAGATTAAATTATTTTTATATCAACTGGTCCCAATTAAAATAGTTTTTTTATTTCGATCATTTTCTTCGGCGAAGAAAAAAGGTTAATTATTAAATGACAACTGAAGCACATGTATAGGTAGTACAAAGTTAAAAGTAGTTAAGATGA